GATATGAAAAAAAAACATGTTGGGATTACATACTGGAGCAATATTTTTGACAAAGAAAATATTTATGTCTGTCTAAAGTACACCAACTCACATCTAATATGGTAGAATCTTCAAATCTGGACAACATAAAAAAATATTGTGTATAATTTAAATTTCTGCAAACTATTCTGTAAAGGAAATACCAATATCAAACTAAAAAAAGGGATCCAAGAGACAGCGCTCGGCCCGCCCTTTGTCAGGTTGGATTGTGAATACCTCTGACTACCCATTTGGTACTACAGTCTTGAAAGTATATTAATTCTGTTCTCGTATGCTATATCAAGTCTCTCTTTGCAGTATTTTGTACGTATTTTATTTTGATTCTGTTGCAACATTAAGGAAGTAATAGACTATTGGACATGTTATTTCTATTATTATATGTAAAGTAAAGTAGGATGTGTGTAACACATACCGAGCCTTTCACGACGAGATAACCCAACAAACACTATTTAATGTTCAGTTGTGACAGATTGTAGTACACAAAAATTTAAAAAAAAATTCTATTATTATTATTTTGAGACCTAAAGTAAAGTTCAGTAAAAATATTAAAGACGGTACTTTAAAAAATTTTCAAGTCATATATTGTACAGTTAAAAAAATAGCTGTATATATATAACATTTCTACCCAAATAAAATAAGTATATACGCCTTTCATGACGTTTAGCTGCAAAAAAGTAACAAAGAAAGAAGAAATATTAACATGTATAAATTTTTCTTACTATAATTTTTGAAAAGATTGTTTAATTTTGCATTTTGACAAGTAACATAATAAGGTAGATAATTTTTTATGGTGAGTGTAAACCGCTATAAATACATACTAGTTAGAACTACGTGTTCTAACTAACAGCACAGTAGCACCATCAAATAACTAAGTTGGCGACCGTCGTTTGCTTGCAAGTTAATTTGCATAACACCTTCTTGCCAAGTCGAGAGCCAGAAGCTTGAGTTTCCAAAACTAACAGTAATTTCGCCCGCCCGTTGTCAACTGTTTCTTATTGTACATTAGCGAACCGCCTCTACTTTAGTCAAGTCATATATCATTACACACCTAAACACAGCATGGCAATCTGTTCAATAGTTTTTCGCGAACATACAATTATATAATTTCAACATCCACGAATACACTACACCGAGGTGATTGCAGAGAAACATTTCAATAATAAGAACCAAAATTACTAATATTATAAACCCTGAAGTTCGTGAAAATTATTGTATAATTTTTTTGTTAACAGCTGGACATATTCAAATATAATCTTAGATTCTTTATCTGTTATCTGATATAAAGCTAGATCAGATTTATTAATTCAAAACCTCGAATTATTAATATACCAGCTGTGCCCGCGAATTAATGTGTTTCAATGTTATTCTAATATATAAGCTATATCATTGTAAAGTTTTATTAAAATCTGTTCAGGTAGTTTTTGCGTGAAAGAGCTACTTACACTCACTAACTTCTGTGTTTATAATATAAGTAGGATTATATATAGTAGTAACAGATATTTGGATCATCAGCAATAATTATTTAATAATGCCATTGGTGAAGAATTAGCATAGTTCAGTATTATTATTATTAATTTATAAATCACACCGTTATTCTTCCTAAAATTATATATATATATATATATATGTGTAACAATTTAACAATATAAAAAATTGTATAATCGAATTTATAAAACGCTGTAACAAAATACAGCACCATGGTTTCTCTCAATTGAATCTTATCGACAATTTCATTTGCCATAGAAATCTACACAAACGAGAGACATTTTGACACATAATTTTGTTGCATAGTACTTTATCTTCTATCACGGCACAATAATGAAACCGAGAATTGATCTTGATATGTAGTCAAATAGCATAATAATATTAAATCATGTATTTGAGTAGTATAATCATAAATAAACATTTATGAGCTGTCTTTCTGCGTAACTGTACCAACAAGGCTGAGTGAGCATGTCAGAGAAATATGGCCGTCACTGTGTATTGTATGAATTTGGCATGTGTGGTTTAGTTGGCTGCCCACATCATATAGTGATTTATAGGAATACTCATTATATTTTAATTTGCATTTGTGCAGCTGTCATTTTGTATGTACGTGATTGTTATCTAAGATATAAATGCAATATAATATATGGTCAATGTTAATTAAAAAAATTGTGAATGCCAGATTAAGATGTACTAAGTAGTCTGCAAACCTTTGTCTCATCTAATGCTGTAGCTGAATTAATTGTCTTATTTATTAGCCGCGTATATAGTGATATAGCAATGACGTCACAGGACAGGCTACCTTAGTCCTCTGCAATAGTGTTGAAACTGCGGCCGTCACAATGTCTATTGTTGATCGTTCAGGGCAGCTAGGTATCTGATGGACATTGAATATTGCGAAAGTATATTTACATGCATAAAAAAAACGGTAACATATATAAATTATATTATTATACGTTTTTATGCCTGTATATTCCTATTATTGGGGTAGGTTACGTTACTGTTATGCCCGGTGGGTTTGCCAGAAGTAGTGTCGACTGTCCACGTTGAAATAAACACTATACTCGGCTGCTCAAATTCCGATATAATTATGTGTATATTTGGATCAAATAGACTCACTATTGCCGTTTGGTGGATTTTGATTGATTTGTATCACCGAAGTCAGAAATATCAATTAACATGACACTTGACACGGCACGATGATTTCATGAAAATTATTATTGAGGGGAAAATAGAAGGAAAGAGGGGGAGGGGAAGACCAAGGCATAGCTACATCAAACAAATTGAGGACAAAATGGGAGTCGTGTCGTATCAAGAATTAAAGAGCATGATGGAAGATCGTGGAAAGTGGCAAGAGCTCCACCGACAAGAGCATAGCTCTTAAATTATGAATGAATGAATGATGTTGATATCGGGCAATTTGAACTCGTTAGAACTATATATAAATAAAAAAAATAAAAATATATATAAATTAGAACTCTTTCAGTATAAATATGTAGAATGGCTAACTATAATATACAAATTGTAAAACTAGAATCACTTGCAGTCTTTTTCTTTAAATAAATTAAAAATAAATAAATATGAAATGAATTTAAATAAAAAGCTCTATACCTCTACAACGTGATCCTAAATAATCCTAATATTCGTTATCTTGACTAACAAATAAGTACCCATCTGATAGTAGCTGCATTCTAACGATTATTGCTGAATTCAATGGTCCATTCCGCTGGAATATAAGCATCACTATTAATAACGTTCATTTGTGAGATAGCACAATTGCTTGTCTTCATTATATGATCGACCAATCATTTATTATATTGGATATAGATTATATTGAATTCATTCAGTCGTGTAGTGTAAAGGCAATAGTTTGTGTAAATGTAGTTCTCGATTTGATATCGAATGAACTGTTTATGAAATCCATGTGTTTGTAATTTCAGTACAATTTCGTGCACAATCATTTCCTACTTAGGGTTGGTCTTAGATCTAGTACTCCTGGATTTTGCTGCATATGGTATAAATATATAGGTATATTTATATCGTATGCAGCAAAATGAAGAATAGTTACCGCGATTAAATCCTACACCCAAACTGAAGTATGCAGTAAGTGTTATAAAATTAATGTTATAAAATAATAATACGCTCATTTTTATTTGAGTTGAACGAGGTTCATTTGAAGAAAACATGGACAGACGCATTTCTTGGATATAGTCGGAAAGTAAACATCGGAATGGCCTATATCCAATAGATTCATGTAGATCTTATAGGTAGAGAAGTACATGTGGGTAGATACGAAATATACTCAATATACACAAACAAACGTTCACCTACGCGTATCTGCTCCATATAAAATTTGCCTCAACAACATGGATTGTTGTTGATGCAAATTTTATATTTCGTTTTATTATTTTGTTATTTCATTATTATTATATTAATATATATTTTTAATTGTAATTGAAATAGCTCTAATGTCTATGTAAATAATAATTGTAAATAAAAGAACTAAAGTTTAACTACAGGTGAGTATGCTGCTCTAATATAAAACTGACTTGTCAATTTAGACTCTCAGATTGTTCATTAAAAAATGAAAACAATTAATTTTGCGTTTAATAGAAAGCAAAACAATAATGACCAATTATTGACACATTTCTAGAACATATTTCTCATGTGATACCGCAAAAGACGACACGTAATGTGGTATTGTGTAAATGAACAGCTGCGCACCTATTAGTATCTACAATGCACATGGTCTCGGCGAATGATCAAATGGAAAACTATGTCAGTGCGAACAGTTGGTGTGTTTACGTCAGATATTACGCTATTTGCCGCAAACAACGCGTACTACTAGGTTCAAGGGGAGCCGGCAAAGTCGGCGTTTCATTCGTTCTCTATTTATAGTGCCTCAAGTCTATTCAGCTGTTCGCTCTCAGTGCAGAAATGTCCGGAGTCGCGAACGACCAAAAACCAACAGTGGCCTCCCTGAGGCATACCGGGGGGAAATTGGTACAGCAACAGAGAACGCGAAATTGTCGCCAACTATTCAAAAGTTCCTAAACTCAATAATTTCCATTTAACGAATGCAAATTAAATTCAAGTGAACTCATTAGACGATGCAATTGCGCGCAATCGGTGCGCACTAACTTATGCAATAATTTACAACATCAAACGTCAAATTATTACAGTGTGATGTTCAGTAAACATGTTACAGTGAGCGAAACTGACCGGTTGTGCATATGTATACATAATCGTAGTAATAAGTGTCAACTGTTTATTATTATTATTATTGATGAAAAACAAAATTGACATTGGTGATATTTAAAGTGGATGCCAGAGGATTGTTGTTTCTGGCAAAATGCCAAAATTCATAGGAACAGCTGATTGTAAACAAACAATTTAGCGACTAATGATAATAATGTTACCAACGTTAGCCAAATTGTATCACATGTGTCTGATTCAATATAAAAATAAGTGAAACGATGTCGACAATAAAAGCTTCAAGTGATAGTGATGGTCCTATAATAACTGATAACATAATAAGGATTCAATTGCGGAAACCTTGTCAAAGGAAACTTCGAACACGAAATCTCTCTCCGGGGATAAAATTTCCCACGATACAACTTTTTGATTGCGACGGAAATCTTCTCGTCGAAACAAATAACGACAACATATCTATAAAGAGCTCAGGTTTTGATGAGCGCACTTTGAAAATGAGTCAGTCATTAAAAGAGAAAGATTACAAACATAACACAAATAAAAAGTCAGGTATAAGGAAACAAAATACAATATCTGGCGGTAAAGTGTACACTCGTGTTTATATTCCTATATACGATAATGAAATTAAAATACGAAATAGCAACTATAGTAACATGAATTGTGATGGCGATAATGAATCAAACATTCCAAGTAAACTTAAACTAATTAAAACTATTCCATATGTACATACAAATAGTTTAGATACCACTCCATATCAATCTGACGGTCTTAGCGAAGTAAGCAGTTATAAAAGTTCAGACAACGATACATATGACAGTGGACAAAAAAAATCAAGGAATAATGAATCAACAATTGAAGACCGTGTATGTTCACAAAAAAGTTACAAAAGTTCATCGGTCTCATCGTTAAGTGAAATTGATCAAAATATTATACCACCCTTCGATGAAAACGAGAATACTTTGCGGTTACATAAATCGAAATCTTTCAACGACACCTCAAGAGATGAACTTCATAACTACAGACCTAATATTGTGCAGCGTTCTAAATCTGGTGTTATGTACCTTCCCTCACACAGAAAAGATTATTTTCTTAATACTTACTTTAAAAGTTTACCTGCTACAAGAAACCATAATCCGGATTGGTTTACAATACATCAACACCCACCAATTGAATTTACGGGAAATTCTCTCGCACCGGTGAAGCACAAAGAATTGCCAAAATTTCCAGCGGATAAATCGTGGCGCTCCTGTAAAATAGACGATAACATGTCTGACAATGAATTCATTAATATTCCAACGGACGATGCCGCGGATCGTGAAATGAAAAAGCGTTTAAAAATGTACAGACGTGGTCTATCAGAAATTGAAGTGAGAAAACGAATCTTTAACACATTCTCAAATGACCGCAGACATTCTGTTACTGGCGCAATGGAGATAGGCTATCACACCTCATCTTCTGAGAGTGTAGACGAAGCAGACTTAGTACTTAACCGGCTAAAGAGGAGGATACTCAAGAACAAGATAAGAGAAAAAAGACGAACTCTCGGAGAAAAGTTTCAGTTTAGTAAGTACTTTACTTTTACGACTGATCTACCTCAATTGTGAGAATGCAAAGTTTTTTAAAGAAACTCGAAACTGTTCTATATAATAATAGATCTTTGTATTGGGTATATTAAGATAGGTATGATGTTTAATATGTCGGGTTATATGTTACATTTTGATAATCCTTTTTCACAATTGATAATAATTTACTACCGTGTTATAATAAGAAACTACTAAATAACACTTCCCGTATAACATTAGTTGCTAATTCATTTAACACTGACAAGCAGCTATCGTTTGCCAAAAAACGTTGGCCAAAATATAAAAAAAAACAAAACCCTTGGCCAAAATTAGAAGTTACCAAATAACCAAATACTCTAAAACAGAGTTTTGTATATATCATAAGTGAGACTTAAGTATAACTCTATTGTTTATACTTAACTCAGCACTACTATATTAAAAAAAATAGGTACCTATATAGTATAATTAAGAAAAGTAAGTATCCATACTACATACACTTGCATATTTCTTATGTTTTCTTTTACTTAAAATAAACTAACAAGTATTCAAAATAAATAACAAAAAATTGATATCATCATCACTACAAGTATAAAACCACAGATAATATAATAATAATAAAACAAAGTCGCTGTCGCTGTCTGTCCATGACGGACGGACAGCGACGTATGTATGCTTAAATCTTTAAAACTACGCAACGGATTTTGAAGCCGTTTTTTTTTAATAGATAGAGTGTATCAAACGGAAGGTTTATATGTATAATACATATACACCCGGGCGAAGCCGGGGCAAGTAGTTAGTACTCGTATATAACCAACAGATGGGAAATATTAGTCTACTGTTATAATAAAAGCATAGGTATTTGTTCTTTATAGTTCGTAAATCACTGAAACAATTTCCTCATTACTATTTAAATACTGGCTGTGTGATATTTATTGAACTCAATCATTTTCAATTCATAATTATCATAAATTATGAAAAAGCAGCATTTTTTTTTAATATAACGTTCTTGTAATTATATTTTGAAGGGTCTTGGTTTCGAATGTAAATGCTGGCAACCCTGCAGTATGTACATCAATAAAATCATTGAACCTGTATAAAAGGTTAAACAGAAAGATCCAGTTACAGAAAGACCCTTTTTACCGGATCTAGTTATTACAGAGCAGTCTCTAAACGTTTCTTTCTGTAAATATTTCTATAAATAGATACATTCGTATGTTATTTTTTTCCTGCTTTGAACTCATAGGATTTATTCAGGTGATAATAGATAACGTGGTTATGGAGACAAACATTTATCAATAATTAATATTATACGTTATATTAATAATAAAAATACCTACGTAATATTTTAGCACGATAAGACCAGTTTTAGAATAATATTTTGTAATGTATTTTTCTAAATTTAATTTAAACATCTTTTATTGGGTTTTAAATAGCCATCCATTGTGTCCCATAAATGGGTCCCTGTGGATACTTTGCCATTTAATACAAAAACTAGATTATCTCATTACTAAATATTTGTAAGGTTATTTTAGCAATGTTGTTTTAAACTTCAATATATCTTCTAAGTTTTTATTAAACCATTGATCAATCTGGGGTAGAAAAGGTGAAGTTATAGCACTTGTAAAAAGAAAGTAAGCACTGTAAAACCTTATACCTAAATATTGGTGGGAGATGATTTTAAGTTACGAACATTGGCCCTATTGCTAGTAAAATACCAGGTCAGATCGACTATTACGGACAGTCTCTAAATCCTACCATAGTCAATTCTTAATAAATTTGCCTCGATGTAGTAACTGACCTGACTTCATGTTCATCGTTTCTTCTTCCACGTGTGTTCTACCAGTATAATGTTAGCGCAGGCGGATTACAAAACTATCTAAATATTAAATGTAACAATATGTCCCATCATTGAGAAACCCTGTAAGTTAATCAGTTATTCCACCGCTTGTTTCGATATAACTAGTATAATCTATGAATAAAGATTATTATTTTATTGTATGTAAAGGTAATAATCCACATGTTATGGATAAAAACAATCTCCTGTCCTATCTATTATTTTATGTACAATATTATTCAATTACCATTACCTAATCCCTGTTATAATGCCCAGTTTCGTTTGAGTTGATGTTTAATCTTAAATTTCTGCTTGACTCTCCGGTGATGGAATCACGGATATTAAACCAAAAATAATTCCAGAGACGGCGGTAGGCTCGCCCTCTGCTACGTTAAATTCAAATGTATCCAGACCCCTCTAATCGATGCCCCGCCCAATCCAAAGGGGGATCGAAATTATGACAACCTGAGCCTGAATTTGATTCCATAGTGGTGCTCACAGACTAAAGTCGTGTCCGTCAGGCAGGCCTTCAGCCGATCCATAAGTGCTTCGATAGGTTTGGAGCGCCATTTGCACTCGCTCTCTATCGTCCGGTGAAGTTGTAAAGGCCAGCTGCGTCCATAATCATTAGTCCGAATAAAAACCCAACCTAAATGTGCCTATGTCAAGTGCTGCGGTCACCACATTGACAATTGCCAATGCCTCTGACTACCCCATCTGAAATTACAGTCGTGACGGTGTGTGTTATTTTTTATGGAATTCAGCACGCGCGTTAAGAAATTTTACATACCCATTGCAAATAGGTCGTGTTTATAGTATACGCATTATAGATGAGACACATTATAATCCTCGTTTAAACATTGGTTTATAGTGGTTTTATAGCCTTTTGTCTCTATGTATGAGAAAATAAATTAATAAAGTTAATGAGTAATTTATGATTATTGTTTTAACAGTAATACTTTGCAGGCTTTTATTCATTTATCTCTAATTGTACATGCATCTTCTTCACATAGTATAAAACAAACTTAACGCCGTTGTTTGTACGCTTAGATCTTTTAAACTACCAAACAGATTTTAATGCATTTTCTGCAAAAGATATGGAGATTCAAGAAGACTGTTTTATAGTAATACTTAAAAATGTATAATACAGAAAAGCTGAGAAATTCAATGATTTTTAATACATCCTTACGATGTCAGGGCGAGTCACTAGTATCACTAGTATACAATAAAATCAGATACACATTATGTATTTTTCATTAATAATTAATGTTAATATTAATAAAAGACAACTATTCTAATTTCTATTTTTAAATAACATATATTTGTCAATCGAACCAATACGATATTGAAACGAATCGTTCAAGAAAAAAGCTTATTTCTTATTAAAAGGCCGGCAGCAATTCCCCAGTAGTGGCGGTTATCACTTACAATCAAATTAGGCTCAAGCTGATTTGTTAAAAAATAAAAATAATACTATTTTCATATTAATAAAATAGACATTTTCTATATATACTTATATTCAAGGCACCCTGACATCTCTCATTTCATCTGATAACCACACCTTCATTTCAGTGCGCCATCTATACCATGTACTGTGTGCTACTTGTGCGATTAAGTTATCAAGCTAGAAGCATAAGCAGCGCCCTCTTACAAACATTATTCGCAACTTATTCAATCTGGCATCAAACAGAACTGCTTTTTCTAATGCTAATCTGTAATGAGATGAAATGCCAAATTGATATAAAAAAAGTTACAATCTCATTTTAAATTTATTTAATAATATTTTATATATAACTTTTTCTGTAAATGTGAAACGATGTGCTACGTTTGTTGTTATTGATAAGGGTTTCGTTCAAATATTTTGGCGTAATATAACTAATAAATTAAGTGTTAATTACACATTTATTTACAACCACACGTACCATTCTTGTAAGTTATTCTTGAAAGTTATATAAATACTAATAAAATTTCTTAACGATTTCATTTATTAATAGTTGTTGAAAATTAGGAATACATATAGGATTCTAGAGAAATACAATAATTTCTACAAGGCAATGTCAAAAAGTAAAAGTATAATGACTTTCTAAAGACATAATAAAACTAAATTGATAGGTACATAATACTACTAGGTAATATATTTTTTTGTTGCCTATGGTTACGAGAAAACGAGCTATTCGAAAACAAAGTAAATGTAGATACGAGTAGTGGTTGAAATTAATTCATACTCTATACTCAATCCAGCACAATCTAGAATTAATAGGGCTGAGTATTTAATGATTTCAGTCTTAATTGGTATCTTGTTACTAGGTCACATAGGTGCTATAAGTCAAAGAAACAGCGATATCAATTAAAATAATAATAAAAACTGAATATATTCGAATGTTAAACATTTCGTGGTAACTAATGATTAACAAATGTCGCAATAAATAGAACAATAATAAAAATGTAGAAATCAAGACCTTGATTAAATCAGTAGAACTCAGTAGACACATAATCGTGGAACCCGAAGTATCACTGCCAGTGGCCACTGCGCTAAGTTTTTGTCTTTCTTTTTTATTCCATAAATCCCAGTAATGACTTCCTTTCTTCCTCCCTCGTCGAAGGGGAAATCACACGAAAAAAGTGACTTTTTCGTGTGACCAACCATTTTGGCTTTATGCCAACATTTCAATGACTGCAACTTTAAGCTTGTTTGCACTTCTGCACAAGGATACAAGATATCTAATAAATCTTAGCAAAATAGATAAATGATACAGCACTATCTACAATTCTTGAGAACATGAAAACGAATCAATCAATGATTCGAACGGGTCGAACAATATAGGATAAATAGCATCGTACCAATAGACATAATATAGCATCTGGAATAAAAAAGGATATTAAAAAGCAATGTTGCTAAAAATAAATTACATTCGCACTCTCTCTTATAATTACATCAGTGTAGATACATATATATAGGTAACTATGAATACTTAATATTCCACTCGCAAACATTGTTATCAGACTGTAATCGATCATCTAACAAACAAAAATAACCCTCAGCTGGAATGTACCGCAAAAGCTATTTGAAACCAGCGAAGTTTAAATTTAACATTTTAAATCTGGTCACACCGCGCTTATTTCTTACGAGGTCAAGGTCAGCTGCATGAAGCCTTACTAAAAGCTCC